CTAAGGTCACTGAGGTCACCATATTCGAAACGGCTGACGAAGTCGCATACGGCGATTCGTCTGGTGTTTTCGCTCGATCGGCTCGATCGGTTCCTGAGTTATAGAATGGCTGCAATAGGCGAAAACGTTTAGTTGGCTTTTCAAAGTCACGGAGGTCACTTGAGGTCACCATATTCAAAACTTGAAATCGCTCACGGCGAATCGACTGGTGATGTTTTCGTCATGATAGACCCAGAAGTTCCTGGCTGAGTTACAGAATGGCTGCAATAGGCGAATATGTTAAGTTGACCTTTCAAGGTCACCGAGGTCACCTGAGGTCACCATATTCGAACAGACTGATGAAGTCTCACCCCTGATTCGAATGACGTCTCGTCCGTCGTCCGAATGACGTCTCGTCCGTCGTCCGTACCGATCGGCCCAAAGATTCCTGCTGACTCCTGAGTTATAGAATGGCTACAAGTGTTCGGAACACGCATTCTCGGGTAAACACCACGGCTCAGTTAACTAATGTATTAATCTATGCACATCGGCTCATTACACGCTAGTACACTGACTGCCCATCAGGCCGGACCAACTGTCCGCCAGCTCATCCCCGAGCTCCCCTTGGCGAGCCAACCGCTCAGCCCCGAGCCCCTCTCGCCGAGCAACCCGCTCAGCGACTGCCGCCGCCGGCGATGCGCCGCATTATATAGGGGGGCTGGGCGCCCGCCGACCAATCAGCGGCCGCCACGTCTCCTACGTCACCAGCCGGCCGGGACTGCAGGCTGCAGCGCCTGCAGCGCCGGCGCACGCTGCCGGCGGCCGATACGAACGGCCGCCGCTCCCCAACACACACCCCTCCTACACAAGAGAAGTGTACAACCGCTCGCATTTCACAAGCATGCACAACATTTAACAAAAACATATACTACAATCACTACAACGACATGACCCGCGTACACACACACACAAAGGAAACTTTAAACACGTTCTCGAGCGCACAATGATCGGGTCCACCGAACGCTTCGGTGTCTACAATCTCCGCAGCTCACGAGCCTCCCGCCTGGTACCGTGCAAGACGACGGTTGAGCCACCCGTGCCGCATTCGGTACGGCGCTGGTGGTCTGAGGGCGGCTGGAGGCGGTTCGAGTCCCGCGCCGCGATCCGGGTGGTGCTGTGCGCACCATACGGCGGTCACCTCCCGCGGCAAACTGCACGTTCGTCCGTGGCCCCACGGGCCCTTGTGCCGCAGGCCTAACTTTGGCTGCCCTCCAGTTGCTGCTCGGCAGTCGCGCTCGTCACCAGCTTCGCGTTCGAAGGGGCGTGTGGCCGGCTCGATCTGCACCGGCGCCCTTGGAGGTGGGGCGGGCCTTTCTCGCCTCACCACTCGATCATTCTGACCTCCAAAGTCCAAGGCCCTGCCCCACTTTTCCAGCACAGAGGTGTTGCAAGGCGTCTGACGGCTGAGGCGCTGTCGGGCGTGATTGTGTGGTGGGCTCTCGTCTTGCGCCTTCTGCGTGCCGCTCCACTCCACCGGACTAGCGTCCCCTGCGTCGCCGTCGACGCCCGGACGGCTGATGGCGCGTGCTTCTTCGCCCGCCACATCGCCAGCCGAGTTGACCTCGCCGCTGGCCTGGGCGGTCTGCCGGTCAGGTTGGCCTGCGATGCCGATGCTGGGCGACCCGCCCTCGCGGCTCACGCTATCCGACTCTGACCCATTTGAGGTCACCGTGACCTCGACGCAGCCGCTGCTGGGCTGCCCGCCCCCGCAACGGCTCGCCCCGGACGCGTCGGGCTCGACTGGGCCCACGCATGAGGCCACTGGGGTCGGCCATTGTCGCCTTCGGTCGAGTCCTGCTAGTGCTGACTTGAAGACGGCCCGAGCGGTACAAGTCACGAGGGCCGCTGCCCGCGCGCAAACCTGTGAGCAGCGCCTCACCAAACCGGAGCTCGCGGTTCCCGACTGCTCGTGATGCCCGATCTCATCGAGCGGGGGTTGGGATGTTGGCGGAGCCTCGCTCCCCGCCGGCTCTGATTGTACCGTGCACACGGTCGACGGTGTGGTTCCCGGGGGCTGGCGTGACATGACCTCGGCGTTCCCGCGGGCGTGACCGCAGATGTGGGGGCACCCTTCCCACTGTCGTGTGGCGCTTCTGTCTCCCGCGTGAGTGGGCTGTCCCGCGGTGGGTGGACCGTAGAGTGCAGGTGGGTCAGCCACCCTCCGCTGCCACTCACGGCCGCACTCCGCTGCCGGTGTGTCCCCCCGCTGCCAGTGACCCGCGTGCGCTGTGGGGCCCCCCATTGTCGGGCTGGCAGGCATGCCCACGGCCGCAGTCGCCGGGGCAGGCGGGCGTCCCGCCCATCGCTGACCCCCACGGCTGCACCCGCGACAGAGAGGCGTCCATCCGCCGGCCTCCTCAGACGGACCACGGGGGCACTCCGCCCACTCCAGGCCCGCCTGCTGATGACCGCGTGGGAAGGACCACCCCGCCTGCTCATTTGCCTGTGCGTGCCGCGCCGGACAGTCACGGATCAAGTGGTCAGGGCTGTTACAACGGAAACAGCGGCGCCCGTTACCCCGCCTGTTCGCCTTCCGTGGCCCTCGTCGGGGGTTCCTGGCTCCCGTCCCGTGTCCCGTGCGGTACGCGTCCCGCCTTTCCATCGTCTCAATGCGATGAAGGGTGCGCTGCAACTCTCCAATCGCCCTCTCCAGAGCGTCAAGCCGAGCGGTGTCGGGCGCGTCCCGGTCCCGGACCGCCAATACCTCGCCCCCGATGGGCCGACGCATGACCCGGAGTGCGTCCTGCTGCTGCTGGAATTTATCCGCGATCCTCATGGCCTCGGTGAGGCTGGACGGGTCTTTTCTAAGCACCCGCGTCTGCAGCTCTTCCTCACGGAGGCCGCACACGAAGCGGCTGACGACGGTCGCTTCCACGGCAGGGTCACCGGCTGCCATTCCTTGGTACGCCTCCTGGCCTGCCTGGCGTACCCTGTCGGCGAAGTCGCGCGTTGCTTCACCGGGCTGCTGCCGGATATTCGCCAGCTCAGCGTGCGCCTGTATCGCCTTCTTCGCTGTGCCGAAACGGGCCTCCAGTGCGGCCACAGTTTGCTTGAGGTTGCTCTGGACCTCCTCCGACAGTGAGGCGAAATAGTCCAGGGCGCCATCTTGCAGCAGGCTGACCAGGCCCTGCAGCCGATTCTCTTCGGAGAACGCGATCGTTTTCGCCCGAAACCGTCGGTACCATCGACCCCATGATTGATCATTTACCCCCGTGAAATTTTCAAAGTTAGCTAAAAGTAAAATTTCTCTTTCCATGTTACGTTACTCTACTGAGCCGATTCAAAATAAAATAAAGATAAAATTTACTTTAAATGGTGCAACCCAACGAATGCGCGTCCGCTAGTGTCCGAACCGTCCTACCGACCGCGCCAGTTGTTCGGAACACGCATTCTCGGGTAAACACCACGGCTCAGTTAACTAATGTATTAATCTATGCACATCGGCTCATTACACGCTAGTACACTGACTGCCCATCAGGCCGGACCAACTGTCCGCCAGCTCATCCCCGAGCTCCCCTTGGCGAGCCAACCGCTCAGCCCCGAGCCCCTCTCGCCGAGCAACCCGCTCAGCGACTGCCGCCGCCGGCGATGCGCCGCATTATATAGGGGGGCTGGGCGCCCGCCGACCAATCAGCGGCCGCCACGTCTCCTACGTCACCAGCCGGCCGGGACTGCAGGCTGCAGCGCCTGCAGCGCCGGCGCACGCTGCCGGCGGCCGATACGAACGGCCGCCGCTCCCCAACACAAGGGTGCGGTCGAGTAGCGTTGTCCGCATTTATTACCCGAAGACTGTTCCGCCGATCGAGACGAGAACGCCAGTCGCCATCATTCGATTCACTGCATTAAAAAAATCATTTGCACATGCGAACATTGCGACCTCATGTGACCTACACTGGTCAACTTAATGTTTTCGCTGTTTGACGAGTGACGACTACCGCGTCTATCGAGACGAAAGCGGCACCAGTCCAATCGCGGCATGTTATTTCATCAGCCGATGGACCGATTATAATATGGTAACCGCAGGTGACCACCGTGACTTTAAAGGAAATAGTTCACTTTTAACATGGGGTTTTGAACTGGAATAGCAGTTACGTAGCTTGAGCTGAGACTAGCACAAATCAGGAGCTTTTACGGCTCAATGATCACCCTAGACGAAGATATTCCATTTCTCGTTCCGAAAAGAGTGCCTTGCAGAGGAATGTGTGCCTTGCACAGGAATGCAGCCACGTCATCGTCAGCCAATCAGCATGCTGCTTACAGCCAATGCAGTATGCGTAGGTTTGAACTACGCGATATGATTGGTCAACACGTAATAAGCTTCCGCGTCAAACATTATTTTACAAAGAATATAGTTTGTCCTATATAAAAATATAGAAAATAATTGTTTTTACAAAAAGGTTTTATTTTATTTCATGATCATTTTGAGCATAAAAAATCATAAATCAATAGCAAAATACTAATTGCAGGAAAGTGAACTATTTCCTTTAACAGGTCAGCCTAACGTCTATCTAACGTCCTAACGTCTACCTAGCCTAACGTAATCGAAAACGCCATCGCACACAGCGTATGGACTGGTGGCGGTTTCATCTCGATCGGCCTAGTACAGTTCTAAGTTACTAATAGGCGAAATTTAGTTAATCTTTCAAGGTCGCCGAGGTGATATCAACATATTCGAAGCAGATAGATCATTTAAGTACGTCAATTCGACAGTGGTGCGAGTGCTAATACTAGATCTTGGCAGTCAGTTGTCACCATTCCCGCCTCATCAACCCACCAACCATGATTGGCTAGCGACAAATGCGAGTGGAAACGGAATATAATAAATGATTTCGATAAAATTATAACTTCAAAAAGAGCCACCATAAAAGGCATTGGTGCTCGAGATCGAGAATCTCCGCGACAGAACCTCTTCTATCACAGTTCGTCACTAAATCGTTTGATAAGATTTAAAAGCATTGACATAATTCTAAATTTTGTCACTTGTATTCCTAGAAATACGGAAGTACGTGAAAATACACAATAATAAGAGGCATGGCATATCACACACTTTTCATGTCATGTCATCATAATAAACCTGAATCAATGAAGCTTTTTTCTTTTCTTCTTTCCCGTGTCCGGTGTTGGCTCGGACGCTGTTGCTTTCGACGATTTCTTTTTCTTCGGGCTGGCATGCCGGGAGTCAAGCGAGTTCGATAATGCAAGAGCTTCACTGCATCGTTTTAACGTTTCCCTATAGCCTGAAACAGGTAACAATGCGTTAATAAAGGAAATATGTGCATAACAGCGGGCAATCTATCTAAACCAACTATAAGGAACACGGGCATTCTGACGAGTGCCTTGACGCCACTATGTATTAAACAACGCAAACGGTAAAAGTGGTCCCGCATTCTGAAGACACGTCCCCTGTCACCCAGCAGATCCGTGCCCTGTCGCCCCTGACGCACACCGCACGGAGCGCCATTCCCGCCCCCCCCCCCGCGCCTCCTTCACCGCGGCACTCACCGACGCCCAGCAGCGGGTGGCGGTCCGGGCCCGCCTCGGGCGGCTCGGGAACCGCTGAGGTAACCGGCACAGAGGCGGGGTCGGCGGCCGGCGCGTCCAGTCTCCGGTGGACCAGCACCTGACCGGCCAGCGGCACCGGCACTGCGGGCCGCGCGACACCGTCAGAAAACCGAACAGAGTGTGGTCACAAACAGAGCACTCACTCCAGTACCGGCACCCGAGACAGACAGCAGTACAAACAGTACCCAAACTCCAGCACCCTGGGCCTAATAGAAGCATATTCAGTGCCCTCGAGCTGCAGTGCACCTACCCATTTTCAATTTCTTCCCCTTCCTGTTGGGCAGCAGCACATGAAGTCCTTCTGGTACGTATGCTTCGGCAGTGAGCTCGAGCGTGTCACTGCGCGTGACTCGTCCTTCACTCAGTGGCAGCTTGCAGTTACGCAGCTCAGAGATGTTCACCTGAAAGGCCAGCCACAGAGGGGAACTGATCATGAGTTGGCTAGAGGAACACGTGGGTGCAAAGAGGAGATGAGTTTAGAGTACCAGTTATCACCATTAAGTATTAACCCGCCCCCTGCGTGGAAGGGGTCTATTTTTGCCCCCTCCGGTCTTTTGGCATTATCTCTAAAACGACTGCGCCGATCGTCGCAAAACTTTCAGTAACCTCTCATACATCACTTTTACACCTTGTGTCAATAATGGTTCAAGAGTCTAGGATAGGCTGGCCAAAATGACGTCAGAGTGACATCATATTCAGCCCTTTTCGACCCAAAAAAGGTTTTGCGGGAAGAGCGGGAAGACTTGTCCGTACAGTTTTGGTTAGAGCAAAATGTTCAAAATCAGAAAGATGTAAAATTAACAGGGCTACAAAACCACCATCTCGGATTTTTTTGGAGTTTTTTTATTTTGACCCCAAAATTGAAAAAGGTGATTAAAAAATAATACCCTAAAAATAAGAACAAAAATCAAAATTTCGAACCAACAAAAACAGAATATATGTTACAAACATATAAGACTGCTATCGACATATCAAATTTGAGCTTGGTAACTACTCTTGGCGAAGTTTTGGCGGAAAAAACTGCTCAAAATTGATGACGTCTTATATTCAAACTCAGTTTTTAGCTGTTATAGACCACGTGGAATAACACTAAGACCACCATGGGATTCCCCGTGATGAGCTGCCTCGAATAGGTACCCTTTTTATGCAAAAACATCAACTTCGAAATTTGACCTTTTTCGACCTGACCTCCCTAGAACGTTATTAACTATCCCTGATGGTCGTCTAACCAACATCATGAGCTGGAAATGAAAAATTTGCAATAAAACATGATCACACGGCCCTAGTGAAGTTGGGTTATGTGTTGACCCTTGGTGACCTGACCTCTGTGACCTGACCTGGTAACAGTGACCTCTTTTAGCAACATATTATGTAGTCTGTCTTAAAAGTACCGCGCAAAGTAACGGTGGATCCATCAAGCCTGACCGAGGAACGGTCTGCTTAATTTGAGTCACCGAAGCAATTGACATCCTCGTCCATTCCCCAGGTCAACTGGTCAGGTGACTTTCACATTATAGCAGGCCTTGCCCTTCCTCGGTCAGGCTTGATGGATCCGCTGTCACTTTGCGCGGTACTTTTAACCCTCGCCGGCACAGGGGGGGGGGGGTTGATGCAACCCCCTAAGGTTTTTCGCGAATAACTCGCGTAAAAAGCGGCCGATCGCAACGAAACTTTCAGTACCCTCGCATTGATCCATTTTACACCTACCCTGAAAATGTCATGACCCTGACCCAAATGACCTTTGACCTCTTTTCCGAGACCATATTTGGCCGGAATCGCATTAGCCGCGCGTTTGCAAGCTTTTCGTGGTTTCAAACGTTCATACATGTGATTTGATGTTGCTCCCATGCATTAGGGTAGGTGTCAAGGTCACCTGAAGGTCAGGTCAGGTCATTGACCTTTGGTGACCTCGGTTCACTTTTTCGAGTTTTACATGTTTCTAGGCTAGTTTTTTTAGCTGAATTCGAATTTAGCAACCATTTGAACATTTACGAAGTACTTTTGGTGCCTTCGTAACATGTTACGAAGCTGTCAGAGGCGGATGACAGGTACTACGAATACCCGTCACGACCCCTACCGGTTGACCTGACCTGACCTGACCCGACCTGGTCTAAACGCTTAACGACATCATCTGTGATCAAAACGATATTCGTGATCAGCACCCCGGAAAACCCCTTAGCAGCCACGCTTTACGACTTTCTAACAGGTCCCGATTTTCCCGACTTTTGGGTCATTGACCTGACTTGGAAGGTCAACCGATGACCTAGGACCTTAAAATTGGGTATCATCGGCTTCCTCTCGTCACGGGCAACACGCTCGTTTTTCCGCAAAAATCTAGCTCGATCAGGGGCGAAACGGCAAGGGGGGTCCAACGGGATTCCAGGACAAAAAGTCAAAAGACAAAATGTCAAAAGACAAAAAGTCAAATGCAAAAAGTGAAAATGGATAAAAGTCAAATGGAAAAAAGTCAAATGGATAAAAGTCAAAACGGATAAAAGTCAAAAGACAAAAAGTCAAATGGCAAAAAGTCAAAACGTCCGAAAGTCAAAAATGCAAAAAGTCAAATGGAAAAAAGTCAAAATGGCGAAAAGTCAAAAACGCAAAAAGTCAAAAGCAAAAAGTCAAATGGCGAAAAGTCAAAATGGCAAAAAGTCAAAACGCAAAAAGTCAAAAGGAAAAAGTCAAATGGAAAAAAGTCAAAATGGCGAAAAGTCAAAAACGAAAAAAGTCAAAAGCAAAAAAGTCAAATGGCAAAAAGTCAAAATGGCGAAAAGTCAAAAACGCAAAAAGTCAAAAGCAAAAAGTCAAATGGCAAAAAGTCAAAAAACGCGAAAAGTCAAGACAAAAAGTAAAAAAAACGGCAAAAAGTCAAAATGATAAAAATCAAATGGAAAAAGTCAAATAAGAAGAAGTCAAAAGTAAAAAGTCATATATCTAAAAAACCATAAGACAAAAAGTCAAATGATCAATGTCAAAATTCCTAAAAGTCAAAAACCATAAGCCAAAAGCAAAAAGTCAAAACCGCAAAAGGTCAAATTAATAAAAGTCAAATGGAAACAAGTCAAAAATCAAATATGTAGAAAGTCAAAAGAAAAAAGTCAAATATTAATAATTTGTATTGTCTTATTGTAAAACGAAACTAAAAAAACCTTAGTCAAAGCCACTTGAAGTGAAAACGGTTAAATTCAAATGGAAATAAGATAAACAAGACATAGTCAAAAGTCAAGAGTCGTTCGTTGTATCATTGTAAAACATATGTATCAACCCTCGCATGACCAGCGGGTCGATGCGACCCGTGACGTTTTCTCGCGATAGCTTCCGAACGACGCGGCGGATCGTGATGAGAATTTGCAAAGCTGATGGGGCAACCCTTGCGCATATTTTAGTACTAGACGCCGGCATCACTACCGTGTTGCCTTGGACCAGAATCGGAGGCGAAAATGTTTGGAATGAGATTCGAACCCGCGACCTTTCTATTTGTAAAGTTTTTTGGTCATATCACGTGCTACGTTTATGCTAGAGCGCTCATTCTTTCAGCATCTTGTAGCGCTTCTCGAGTTCTATCAGTGTGCCAAGTTTCATGGTGCTAGCTCAATAGATGACGGTTTTAGAGCGTTTTCCGTGAAAAACGTTTTTTGCCTCTGGCACGTGCAGCTTGCACCCCTCCGGGACCGAACCCCCCTAGGATGAAGGTTCACTATGGGGAGCATGTGGCCTGTGAGTTGAGCGTGGGCCCCACCACCGCAGCCAGCGTCCCTGCCCCGCTGCTGCGGACCCCGGTACCTGTCAGAATCCCTCGCGTACTCACATGTTCCTCACAACTTCAGTGGGTAGGGTACGTTGCGCTGTATAATATTTTTCAAAAGATGAAAAGATCGATGCTTCGACTTTTATCCTTTTGACTTTTTATTTCAGACTTTGACTTCGACTTTTCTATTTTATACCTACTTTTTCATTTTTTGACTTTTTGTCTTTTGACTTTTACCCGTTTTGACTTTTTGTCCTTTGACTTTTTTCCGTTTTGACTTTTATCCTTTTGACTTTTTCATTTTTGACTTTTTGCATTTTTGACTTTTTGTCATTTGACTTTTTGCGTTTTTGACTTTTGCACATTTTGACTTTTTGCTTTTGACTTTTTGTCTTTTGACTTTTATCCGTTTTGACTTTTATCTTTTTGACTTTTATCCCGTTTGACTTTTTGCATTTGACTTTTTGTCTTTTGACTATTTGTCTTTTGACTTTATTCCTTTTTTGTCCGGTTACCGTCCAACGGACCCCCCCCCCCCCCTTATACGTTCGCGGCTGGAAAAACATCTATCAGGCGAGGGTTAAGACAGACTGTACCAGGCAATTGTGAACCGACGCTTTACCAATGATTTTCGATTAAATGCGTTTTGCTCGACGTACAACGCATTTCCTAGAAGGTCCGTGAACGGCAAAACATTTTAGCTTTGACCTGAACTGTGATATTATCGAACGCCGTTCGAGTTTTGCGAATCCGTCCAAGAGTTTCGGAGATACGGGGAGGGGACAAAAATAGACCCCCCATCAGGTCGCGTTATAATCAGACCCCACCAGGGCGCGGGTTAAGCGTTGGCGCGTTGGTAAAAGAAGTTTGAGGAGAAGGGGAGCGTCAAATATAGACCCCAATCAGGGCGGCTCTTCCGCATTTCAAACGTCGCCAAAATCGTCATGACGAAATCACCTAGGAAATCCGAGCACTGTAGAATCATCTGGTGTCTGGGAAAATTGTCCGACGGTATTGGAGGGACACACTCATATTGAAGGCCCATAAAACTCGTGTACGGTGTAGGACCAAAATTAAAGAAAAATCAGGTCAGCCAGCCTTTTCATGCAGGACGGTGCTCTTGCTTGTCGGTCTGCCAGAACTTAGAGATGGCGCCAAGAGCATCTATTCGATAGCTGGGCGAAGGGAGCATGGATAGGGAACAGGTCTAACCTAAGTCCAATCAAATTACCCCAGAGAACCGAACCACTCAGCAAACCTACACAGCGCCAAAGGGTGCTCCAGTGAACCTGGGCAAACATCAACCCTTAGCCCTAAGAATCTCCAGAATTTTGTGCCCAACATACCTGCTGGTGTCTCTCAATGTGCCCAGTTCATGGAGAATATATTGACTGCTGAAATGAATCTGTTGCATTATCTTTACTGAAGGGAAGCGACAATGCTGGTGTGGGCACTGACCTGTGCTGGTGCACGCACGATCCATAGTTCCAGGTCATCTGTCTGGTCCTTAAGCTCCTCTTGACAAAGAGGCCCTGGCTTGGTCAGGGCCTCAAAAGCACTCTCCACCTCTGTGGCCCCTTCCACATTCTCCTCATTCATAGCCTTAGCTTGAGATGTTAAGGCTTTGAGGGAACCTGGCATCAGAGAGAAAAGCTGTATTTTTACATCTGAAAAGGTATTCTTATAAATATCATAGCAAATTTATACAATTTATCTTGATCTGAATGAAAGAATTCACAAGGACAGAGAATTTTAAGGGAACATAGGGAAAGCTAATATTGATATGGAGTGATATTAAGACAAAAAATGATGAAAATAATGCTTAATTCCATCCCTTGGATTCACATAGTGCGGCAACAACTGTCTCATGTCACAGAAACACACAGATTCTGGAAAAAAGTTAAGAGCTCAGAGCTTCATTTGAAGCTTCACTGGCACTGCCAATCCTGATAATCTGGCCTATCAGGCTTTTCTGGACTGATCGTCCATATCATTCATGATTTTCTTGACTGAATGTGCATGACCCACAGTGCAGCCAACCCATTTATATTTCCTATTGACGTGTCTCAGTCTTATTCTGAGCAAGACAGATCGCAAGCAAACCCGATCATGATCAAATGTGGGACACGCACATACTTTACTTAAGGACCACAAGGCACAGGTAGTCTGGATTTTCCTTCAGATATGGTCAAGCCTTAGTTCTGATTATGTATTTAAAACGAAATATCTTAAAACGAGTCGAGATTTCGATAGGCACGCAATTGAGACATTTGTGGCGCAGAGGGTCAGGTAGGTGTTTTGTTTTACCTTGGTTTTACCAATGATTACCGTTCGGTTAGGGCAAAAAAGCCCGCGTAAGAATGGTAATGATATAGATGGCAGCAATAATTTGGAATAGCTAGCCTTGTACAAGTATCAGGAAACCCACGCTGACAATCATAAAACTAGAAACACCTCACGTGGGGACGCAAGTGTTTGGCTGGTCAAGGCCAAGGGCTGTGGGGCTAGTTCAGTATACCACGTGGTTCTAGCAATTATGCTCAGATAATAAAGTGAATTATGGTCTATATCTCTTTATATTTCTCAATGATATTGATTTTACAATAGTTTTTGGGTCATCATTAAATATTTTAATGGCTGTGAAATATTTAAATATTTAAACATCTCTTTTTAACCAGAAATCACGTGACAAATGGTAGCTGGTGAATTACCTGTACGGCTTTTTCATTTCACGTGCGGGAAATGCGTGCGGGAGTTCTCTATGGCGGCGGAAAGGGGGGAGGCGGCACCAAGGCACCGTGCCCCACTTGATTTTGCCATTTTAACATTAGCCCTACGGACGTTGCATGGAAAGAATGGAACGAAAAGTCGGCTGTGCCCCCCCCCCCCTAACTCTTCAACAACAACACCCCCCCCCCCCCCACTTGAAGGGGTGCCGCCGCTACTGCACAGAGCAAGGCCTGATATAGGGTACAGAGGGGCGGGCAGGGCAATAAACAATCCAGAAATGTCAAGAGGAAGGTATCGGCTCGCTGGCCAGCCTCAGCCAAGGCCTTGCCTCAGCAGGCGTGCGCGTGTGTCTTTTTTTGTTCTTGTTGGGATCACGTTGGGTCGAAGGACGTGTAGCCTTTCGACCCAGGCGTCCAACTTCACTGTAGTGTCGGTACTAAGCGGCACTAACTAGTCATGTGGTGCATAGGACTCTTTAGTCTTTAGTGCCCTGGTGCATAGATGAGCTCCATTTCCAGCATGTCACTTAAGCGCTGCGTGGGAACGCTGGGAGCCTCATAAATGGCCCTACCTTTTCTTCCCATGCCTTCATCGTGGTCCACCTGTCACTTATTAGCCAAGAACCCAACTATTTCAAGTTCCGTGCATCTCAGGTTAGCAAATTGCATCGCTACTGCAGGTTTGGCAGAGTCCAGCATGAATAACTGGCTACTCCGTTCGCTTCCTTTACACCTTCGTATTCCGTCAGACCCTCCAAAATGCGGCATTTTTTAACACTTCAGCCCTGTTACGAGCCGAGTACTCAGGATATTTCACAAAACATTTTATTTTCCATTCGAGCTGAATGCAGCCATACTTTGACCAGTTAGCTCAACGTACTCTCCGTACATTCCTAAACATCTCACACTTGCAGTTATTACCAGTTATTACACATGTTAAAACTCCCGTTCTTTTGAATAAAAAACAGTAACGCCTTTCACGAGCACTCAAAACTAATCAGTTTAGGTCTCGCACGGAAACGATTCCTCGCCAGGACAATCCCTATGCAGTTGATTTTGTTCAACAATCAACATATCAGAACAAATCGCAAGTCAGTGCCATTTTAACACATTCAGTCGAACTCTCATTTGAAATAAATTGGCAATTGACCAAGCAGACTAGGTGAAAACTGCGATCGCACCAAATCCAATAATTGTTGAGATTTTATTACAATGATCATCTTACAATGTGCTAACAACTAGGGCAATGACCATTTTTGTACTGATTACCCCCGGTAAAAAAGGACGCGAAAATGGTTTTCTCGTTTTCTTTACAAGCAGCACGTACTGTACAGGTTCAAGTCGGGTTGCCTCAGCACAACATAACAACCGCGGCGACGCAACAGCAGCCGACGCGCGTCGCTCTCCCTCCCTTCACTGCCCCTCTAAGATAGGAGAAAGTTCGGTGGAATGTCACATTCTAAGACGCCCGGGCGCTGCAGCAGTTCAGTATTCGGTTTCCACCGGGCCAGTCTATCTGCAACACTGTCTACACCAGCAGCTATGATAAATAGTAAAAAAGAGAAGAGACTGTACCATCTGTACACAAATCAACACAAACGTGATGCACATGTGAAATAAAATCTGGACAATGCGCTATGTACAGTTCAATGCGATGCGCGGCACAGCGGGCGCAACATTGGCAAGCGGGCGCCGCGGCCCGTGTCCCTCCGAGGCCCCCTGGTCCACGGGCCCGCCCTCGCCGGCGGGCCGTCCGCCGGGGCGCTCGAGCGGCCACGGCCACCACATGCAGGCCGGCCGCCCCACAATACAAATATCACACGCACACTCACGGACACCGGCTAGGGTGGGCGGCGGGCCGGCCGGCGCTACAACGTGTCGGCGAACTTTGAGAGCTTGTCGGCGTTGTCGGCGCCGGCGCCGGCCGGGTGCTGTCCCGGGTGGCCGGGCAGCTGGAGTCCGCCGTGGCCCGCCGCCGACACGCCCGTCAGCTGCGAGAGCAGCATTTCGTTGGTGCCGAGCTCGGGCGCGCCGGCCATGCCGTGTCCGGCGGCGGCCGGGTGCGGTGAGTGCGAGGCGGGCCGGTGCGGTGACGGCGCGTGGTAGCCGCCCAGCGTTTGACGCGGAGAGCTGAGCGGCTGCGGCGAGCGTACCGGCAGGCCGGCTGAGCCGGGCGGCGGCGACACCACCTGCTGCAGCATCTGCTGCGGCGACGGCGCCATGCCGCCAGGGGGACCCATCAGCGACTGGTGCGGCGAGGCCGACTGCTGCTGCCGCTGCATCAGCATCTGCTGCTGCTGCTGCTGCGTGAACTGGCCGCCGAACTGGCTGCCGTCCTGCTGGAAGTGCTGCTGCGGCTGCATTCCCATGCCCATGCGCGGTCGCTGTCCGTACTGCATCGCCTGCGGCTGCTGGAAGCCGTGCTGCTGCTGTTGCTGTTGCTGCTGCGCCTGCTGTTGCTGTTGCTGGCGGTGCATGGCAATCAGCTGCTGCTGCTTGGCCCAAGCCTGCTGCTGGGTCATCTGGCCCGGCTGCATCTGGTTCTGCACCACCATGCCGCCGGTCGGCATCCGCTGCTGCTGGAGCTGCTGTTGCTGCTGTTGCTGCTGCTGGACCGGCGGCTGCATCACTCCCGGCTGCATCTGCATCGGCTGCTGGCCGTCCGGCACCTGCTGCTGCTGCTGCTGCTGCTGCTGCTGGGCCATCTGCCGCTGCTGCTGGTTCTGCTGCTTCTGGTGCTGCATCTTGATCACCTGGGCCATCAGCTGCGGGTGCGACTTGAGGATCTGCAGCACGTTCTGGTGCGCCTGCGGCCCGGTCGGGTTCTTGAGGCTGTGCAGCAACTCCTGCAGTCCGGGGATGTTGTTTCGCGGCGCGCCCTGCTGGCCGCCGGCGCCGCGCAGCAGACCCGCCGCGCCGGCCGTGGCCACGGGAGCGGGCTGCTGCAGCGCCGGCCCGGCGCCCGGCACCGACACGCCCGGCGAGGCCCCGGCCGCGCCCGGCCCCGCCAACCTGCGCACACGGAGATTGCGGTCAGCACAGGATAAGCTCAGTGGTCTCAGGACTGGGGCAGCACTCAGGTGAATCAATAGCATGAATACAAAGAAGTATCTGCAGCTACAAGATATAGCACACCAAGGTCGAGTTACGGAGGAGCTGGGTCATCTGTTATTTACACGCCTGGATGCCGTTACCAGATAAGTTAAAGACGCTGGAACTGTTGATCAAATAATTACTGTTGATCAAATAATTACTGTTGATCAAATAATTACCCTAACATGATAGCATTAAAATTGCATGAATCTCAAACAAAATGTGAGAAGAAACGCAAGCTATGACACGAAACTCTCAAACGACATTCAGATGATTCTGCGCCATGACGATCAGAAATTAAGTTATATGCGACATTTCAATCTCTTCTATGGAAAAGGGTGATTAAAATCAGGATATTTAAACCAAAGTGGTTAAGGAGGAGGCGCCCATCCCAGTCCCCGTAATTAAAATCAATATATACGAATGGACGAAGGGCGGCAACATAGTTTTCTGGAAATTAGGGACGTTCGACGTGATGTGCATTAAAAATATTGTAACGGTGCAGCTTTCCAGTTATCATCCAAAAACGTGCATCCGAACAGTACTGCCCACATCTATACGTGGATAGCGGTTCTACACAAAGCGTGGTTCAAGTAATAAAGCTTGCTTTTTGAGTACTTGGCGAATGGCCAGATAAAGGTCAACAGGTCAACTGCGGAAAAAATGGCGTACATGTCTCAAATCCTCGACTTACATGCCGATTTCCAGACACACATAAAAATGTTGAACATCGAAGTGACGACGGTGACCATGTCCTAGCAACCGCAGCGACCCCGTTCTCTGCCGTATCATGAATTAAATGTATGTGCCGTACCTGTTGCCCCAATCGTTCATTGCCGGCAGTTGCATGCGCGCAGCCTGACTGGCCATAGGCTGCTGCATGGGCATCCGCTGCTGTTGCTGCTGCTGCTGCTGCATTTGCTGTTGCATCTGCATCTGCTGCGGCTGCATCTGCTGCTGCGGCGGCTGCTGCGGTGTCATGCCGCCGACGGGAGGGTTGTTCTTGCCGTACCCGACGGCCGGCTGGTTGGCGTGCTGTCGGGCGGCGGCCTCCTGCACCTGCGGGGGATAGCGATGCCGCTGTTACACGTGTCCACCGGGCGGCCTTGTGGCCGGGAAACAAAAACTCCAAACGGACACAAACAGGTGGAATTTAAAAAAAAAAATGGAGAGCTCACAAAAAAACTGTTCATACCTGAAAAGTAATTGCAGTCCCCGAGCAGGGCACTGGACTCAGGACTGGTCGTTTAAAGGGACCCTCCCACCTTCAAAAAAGTTTATGAATTGCCATGAAAGTGATGTCGCTCGGTTCAGAAAGAGCGAAAACGAATATCTACCAAAATTCACCGAAAAATATTCACCGGTTTTCAAGATATTAGACTTTTACTTTTGTTTACTTTTTGGGATCTCCGCTATTAATTACTAGCGACTTTATTTGGAAGCAATAGTTTGGCAGCTGAAAGTACGGCACTTGTTGCGCGCAAAGCAGCATATACCACCGCGTGCTACAAAACGTTTTTGTCAAGCATTTAAAAATCGTTAGATATCTGCGATGACGTCACACATTCAGAGGGGTATTCCTATGCATTAGCCCCTCTGAATCAAAATGCTGCAATTTTGAAACTCAATATTTCCGATTTAAGGCATTTCTCGATGTTGTGAGTGCCGAAACCGGTAATTGTGAGCCAGGGACCCCATTTTGGCTATCTCAACTCAAATCTAATGTTAAGGTGGGAGGGTCCCTTTAATGACGTTATATAGTATATACTGACATTTTAAATACCATCGCGATTAAATATGCGAAGTTGAGACGAATACTGAAGAACAGATTCATATACACAACACAGCCTAAGGCAATCCCAAAAAGCAAATAACCGATTTAGATTGTGACTTTCCTTCCCATCCCTATGCATTAGGCAAAGATCCAACGTTTAGCCCACGTCAAGCGGGCGTCAGCAGACGCTGCGGCGTTCTCCGGCATCACTCACCCGTTTGACGGCCATGAGCACGTTGGCAGGCGGCCCCTGTCCGCCCGGCTGGCCGGCCGCCGTCGCCGGCGGCACGCCCGGCCCGCCAGGCAGCGGCCGCGGCTGCTGCGGCGGCGCCGCCGGCTGCGACACGGCGGCCGACGGCGCGGCGGACGAGGAGGCAGCGGCGGCGGCGGCGCCGGCCGCAGCCGCCTGCACGGAGGCAGCCATGCTCCCGCCGCTCGACGATCGCATCATGGCCATACGCCGGTGGAGAAGCGCCTTCTGCTGTAGCTGAGCCTGCATCTGCTGCTGCGCCAGCCGCGACTTGATGCTGCCGCAGAAGGGCACCATGCACTTGTCCTCTTTGCAGCACTTGGCGTGGTAGCAGCACACCGCCACAAGCTGTTTGCAGATGGGGCACCCGCCGTTGACCTTCTTGCGACAGCTCTTGGTGTGCGAGACGACGCGCTTCATCTTCTGACAGCTCTGCTGGCGACAGTTGGCGTCGCGGCACTGGCACGAGTGCACCAGCGACTTGATGCAGCGCTCGAGCGACTGGCGGCGCAGGTCGGAGGCCGTCTGGCCGGCCCGGTCCGACGTCTCGCCGTCCAGGTCGAAGCCGAGCTTCTCCATCTTGTGCGGGTGCCGCTCCTTCTCGTAACATGTGGCGCAAAGGTCGAAATCCTGCCGGGCACACATGATGATCAGTACCCACGAAAGCGCGAAACAAAACAAAATTAAATACAATAAAATGAAATGGCATAAATCTCCAAACTGACAAAATTAAAAAGTGAGGGTTTCCACAAAAAATCATTGAAGTTCATCAAAACGCCTAGAAAGCGCTACAATTGTAATCTACAACTGAACGAGAACCAAGCAGCCGTTTTCTTAACTCAATAAACTTAACTGAAGATAATGCCAAAGTCAGCAAAACTGTAACAATATCCCTTGAAGAATTCCAACTTACATCACAGACGGTGCAGTGGTAGCGCGTATCGATATTATTCTTGCAGGTATTGCACGTGTAGACGACCGTCTCCTGGTTCTGGTTGTGCAGCTCATACAGCATGTGCTGCGTGGCGGCCAGCGCGCGCCGCTCCGAGGAGAACTCGAGGTGCTTCTCGCGCGCCATGCTCAGGAAGTTGTCGCGACCATCCATCAGCTCACAGGGGATGTGCGGGTCGGGGTCCTGGATCGGCTGCAGGCTGGCCGCCGACTGCGCAGAGTGCAGACGCACCACGAAAAACACCTCCTTGTGCTTCTCCATCAGAGCGAACACTTTGGTCGAGAGATCGTTGCCACTCTGATTGGACTTTTTCGACTTGTTCTTGCTGGAGGTCTTCGACTTGGTGTTTTTCTTGTTCTGCTTCTTGATGGCTCCCTTTTTCTTGCCGTCGGGCGCGGGGCTCTCGATCTCGGTCTCGGCAGCGGCGGCAGCGCGCGCCTCCTCCGCCTCCAGCTGTTTTCGTTTCTCCTCCTCCTCCTGGTCGAGCTCACGGATGCTCTCCTCCAGGATGCCGGGCCAGAAGTCGCCCTCGAAGTAAGGCAGTTCGGCCGGCGTGCGGATCGAGTCCTCGGCCGCCTGCTTCAGGATGTCCTTGTAGTCCATGACGATGCGGTCGATGATTCCCTTGTCCAGCATTTTCTTGTACCACTCCTGTAACCGCTTCGGCTTGGGGATCTTCTGGTCGGCCGGGTGGCAGTGGAAGATGTAGTCGTCTCCCTCGCACGGCGGACACGCCCAGATGTGCGCCATCGTGTACCTGTGGTGACACACAGTCTCAATCAGAATATGCAGCGCTACTACACGGGACTCAGCATTCGGTGCAGCACACGGGACCGACAACTCTATAACCAAATGTGATTACGCCATTTAACGCAGCCTGACATATAAAACAACACACAAATATTGAAACAATATTCACGTTTTAGTTCTCCATGGACGGCGGCGCAATGCAAAAACCATTTCAGCCAAGAATCAAGCCAGAAATACGCGTGGCTGATCAGTCTCGAGTTCGGCACGATTAAACTGCAGGAAAAAGCACCAACATAAAAGCTAATTCAGCGTTACCGAACGTTTTCAATGCGCCTGACACCTGACTAACCATCGACGCCCACTGTGGCGACACACATTCAGTACTCACCCGAGCTGTTTGACGTAATCCAAATACGCCAGCAGGATCTCGTGGTACACCGACGTCCTGAACTGGCGCGGCCGGAAGAAGTGCACCGAGTCCAGGTAGGCGATGTACACACGGCGCCGGTTCGGCTGCGGGCTGTCCGAGCCGTACTCCTGCACGTGCATGCCGAAGAAGCACACCTCGTGGCCATCCACCTCCTCGAAGGCAAACAGCGCCTTGGCGCGGTACGGAAACTTGGCCGGCATCTCGCCGGCGTCACAGAACCTGCACGGCACACAGGAGTGGGGGCGTGAGAACTGCAGGAGTTGCTCGTGTACATTATGTGTCTTGGCGAATGGTCACAGTAAGTCTGTTGTAGTTGGCGACCTTGAGGATCAAATGATGCAAAGCACAATTACTATCATTGTGAAAACCTACTATGTAAAACCATCGTGAAACGACAAACAGATTCAAAATCCTTTTCACAAAGCTTTGCCTAAAACATAGCTCAAGTCCCTAAGTCCCAATTATATCCTAGTTTCCCCTCTTCCTCTGGACTATGACGTAACTCAGGTCAGGGCCCAATCTTACCAACTGCCGTGAATGCGCATTCACGGCATTTGGTAACATTCAGAACTGTTCCACATTCACTTATTCATTCGTTCTGGCGACATTCATAATCATTCACGCTATCAAAATCATTGGACAAAATTGCCTGGAGGTAAATAAAAAGGATATCTTTGATATCAGTGCCGTAAAGTCCGGCCAGTGCTGCCAAATCCTATTCACGGCATTGGTAAGATTGGGCCCAGGTCTCAGTTTCCCCAGTCTGCGTCCCATACCACTGCAGCCCCCTCCCCCCCCCCCCCCATCAGTGTCGTCTGCTAGTCCGCACTCACCTAGCCTTCATGCCCGGCTTGACCTCGCAGATTTTGTCGCTGCTCGAGACGACGCGGATGAACACCTCGCCGGCGCCCGACTCCTTCTTCTTCAGGTAGTTGTTGACTCGGTTCTCGATGTAGGTGCCCAGCTTGGTGGCCGGCAGCCGCTTAGCATTGAAGCGGTTCTCCTTCCTCTTCATTCCCTTCGCTTTAAGGCAATTATCACAGGTGAAGCTGAAAATGGAACGATGGATCGTCACTCCTAAGAATCTTGAGGTCATACTCCAATGCGGCCAATGATAAACACTAATGCAAAGTAGGACGATATGAATAAGTCATCAAGGTTAGTTGAGTATGCGCTGCAGCTAGACAAACAGATACTTAATTCATGAACAATATTCGCTCAAACTATTGTGGAACATGAAGGCATCATAATCAACAATTCAAATAATTTGACGAGTTCAAACAAACTATCCACCACAATCTCCCGAAATATTGAACATCAATAAACACCAACTGAATTCAAATATACTGTCTAAACAAATTAAACCCCGGCGCTTATTCAGCATACGGACAAGGCGCTGAGCCGACTGCCCCCGTCCGTCTGTCCCTCTCGTCTGGTGCCACTCACCCCTGCGGCCAGATGCTGTCCATGTGGAGCACGCAGATCTGGTGCAGCTTTCGGCCGCAGTCGGTACACTCGGCCATAGCCTCCATCTCAAACTTGTCGTTCTTCAGCTCCACGAACGCGTCCTTCTTGATGGTCCTGCGGGCACCGAGCGACACGCCAACGTGTTATCGTGTTGGTAATTGACGCAAATTCAGAGCGTCGTGACGCACGACCTAATACAGCCGCCGCCCATTTGCGTCAGAGCTTTGTCCCGTAAATTCGACGCAAGGGAACCTAATCTTAAGGGCGGTAAAAATGCACATTCCTAGCAATATCAAGGACATAAAATAAGACAACCCAAGTATAAGGGATCATGCGAGGGCTCCCACCCCAGGCGCAGGGGCCTCAGTCGTCCCACGGCAGTCAGTCGCTAGTAACTCACATGTTCTGCTGGGTCGGCTCGCCCTCGCCGATGCTGACCGTGTCGCCCTCGATCTCGTTGAAGCACTTGACGCAGTAGGTGATGCGGTTCTGGTAGCTGAAGTACTTGGCGTCGCGGGGGATGCTGCAGAGCGAGTTGGAGCCGAAGCAGCACAGGGTCTGCGGCTGGAAGGTGTACTTCCTGCCGCAGCAGTAGCCGAGCTGCTGCATCACCGGGTCCATCTCTTGCTCAAACACCTCCGAGAGCTGCCAGAGGCGGGGACGGGCGGAGGTTAGACACTGGCTCATGGCTGCACTGACACCGATCACAAACACCTTTACCGTGGAGCAGCTCAATTTAGCTCCACCATAACTGTTAACACGCGCAGTGGGAGGGGGGGGCGGATTTCGCCCACCCCTCCTGTTTTTCACCAATAACTCGCGCCGCAAACATGATATTAACCCATGTGAAATTTTGGCTACCTGTCCAGAATTGAACTGCGGATCTTCTCGTGCAAGAAATAAAAAAAATCGGGTCACAACTTTTCTAGTAATAGCGGTGTAAAGTCAAACATCCTGCCGCCGCGGCGGCGCGGCGGCCGGCGCTAGCCGTTACGCGCCGCCTGAATTGTAGACTGTGCCGGGGCGGGACGGTCCCGTCTTTACATCGCGCTCCTTACCGTTGATTATATTCGATTCGCGTCAAATTTTGTTAGAAGACTAAGAAATGAACAGGCAATCTTATGGTCAAAGAATTATGAAAATCGGCCGGTAACAACTTGAGTTATGAGTGTGTAAACACAAAATTGTGATTGCCGCGTTTCCCGCGTCCGCCGATCCCGCTTCAGCCGGCGACATCTTACGCTTAGCAGGCTTCTAACTGCCATATCTATTGTTGGATTAACAAGAAATTCACCATACATGCTCACCAATGTATGTTCTTTCGTATAGTGAAAGAAAAAAGACAATCGGCCGGTAACTTTTTGAGTTATCGGAGTGTAAACGCAAAAAAGTCACTAATATGGCAGATTTGACCACTTTTGACCTCATTTGACCTTGAAGATATTGACCTAGGATCATGAAAGTCACACACAACAGAGTTCCCCAGGGCCCTCACCTACCCTCCAAATTTCGTCTTTCTAGCTCCAGTGGGAGCTGAGATCTTAGGGGGGGGGGGGGGGCGACATCCGCCCCCCTTCCACTGGGCGTAGTACTCGCAACCCTTCCACTGCGCGTGTTAAAAAAGGTTGTTGGTTGACTTAAGGTGCCTGGGCTGTACAGACAACTATCCATCGGAAGACAAAAATTATCCTAACAACCGTTTTTTAAATCCCTTTTGGTTTGCTCGCTGCACAAAAAAAGTACAAAGACTCATAGCAACGATCAACCTACCAGTTCCATCAACAATGTTATGCGTACCTTGGAGGCGAACTTGTACACCTTCGACGTCTTCCTGTTGTAGATCCAGGCGTTATCAAACATGAGCCACACATCCTCGACGTACTCCCACGGATCCTTGAAGGCGCCTGTGTCCAGCTTCTTCTTGATGGTGGACAGGTCCATGGGCTTCCTGATGATGTCGAAGTAGTCGGGGATTCCGAGCGCTCCCGGATCCACCGGCTGTCGGAAGGGCATCGACTCGGGCTCCTGGCGGTACAGCTTCTCCAGAGTGGGCATCAGCGCGTGCCGCAACTCGTCCGGAGAGAACACTGCCGGACAGAGACAAGCATGGTGTTAGGCATTGGGTAATGCTCTTCGGCCGAGTCTGGGACAAGCAACGGGCTATAGCAGCATTCACGGCTGGGTGCCATGGACGTCCAAATAAGCCAGAAACATACCTGCGAAAAAGTAGCTGCTGTTGACTACAGAGGCAATAATTACTTACCAAGGAAACAAGACGTGGTAGATCCTGTCGAATGTCCAAATCCAAAGACAAATGGAAATACGAATACTGAATTGGCATTCGAATAAAAATATAAACTCGAAGTTCACGACAAAACGCACGAAAACAAACGGCGATCCCCAACGACTGTTCGATATTTAGCGCAAAACAGCAAGCATATCTCAAAACCAGTATGGGGCCGAGGACTCGAACCTCGATCCACGATCCCCAAATCGCCGCACTCTGACTCAGTCCTGGGCAGGCCGTCAGTCATACTCACGTTGTCTGTGCACCTTCTTCTCGGTCTTGGGCGTGGACCCGCCGGGGGTGGGTGCCGGCGTGTTGGCCGCCGAGCCGGAGGCCGACGCCGACTCGGCAGGCGTGGAGGGCGTGGCGGCCGCCGGCGGGCTGGAGCGCTCCTCCTTCACCGTGCCAGGCTCGGCTGCACGCAGACACACATTGATAGGGTGCTCAGTGGACGAACAAAATATAAGGTCGACAGCCGAAATACACCATTCCAAGTAAATTACGAACGATATGCAGCGTAACTACATTAACGCAACCACTCAAGCTGCCACAAACTTATCAGCACTTAATGTTCATAATCATCCCGGTAAAGCACAATGATACCACTGTGCTATCAGGGAGCCCCTAAGCTGCCATTGGACTAGTCTGAAGTGCCGGTGACTCACATTTGACGACGGCGCCGTCCCAGCTGCTCTCGTCCATGGGCTCTGTTTTGACCTCCGCCGGCTCCGCCTTGACTCCGGCGACATGGGGCTGTGGGCCAGCCGGGGGCGCCGGGCCGGGCGTTCCCTGCGGCGCCGCGCCGCCGCTCTCCGCCGTGTCGGTCTCCATCTTGACCTCAGCCGGCAGCGGCGCGGGCGGCGGCGCCTGCGGCCCGGCCGTGCCCGGCGGGGTCGGCGTGGGCTGCGGCGGCTGCGGCTGAGACTGCACCGGAGTCGAGTCCCGCAACAGGTTGTCGAACGCCGAGTTCTCCTGAGAATAGGGAGAGGAGGCGGTTACTCAGAGGCGACAGCTAAGTAAACAAGGGCCATTCTAGTTCCTAAGAAATACAACGGCCATCAGCCTTCCAAGCCTTCTGTTGTTAGGTATGCCAGCCTGAATTACGTTATGTAAGCGTGGCGATTTTTAAAGGAAGACTGCCACCTTCAAAAAGTTTTCTCAGATCGGCCTATGATTTATTCCCTGGACAAAACAAAATTTTAGAATTCACCTGACAAAGTATCATCACGTGAATCGCGAAAAAAATTGTCGATTATCATACAATTATCAATCGGTTAAAGGGACCCTCCCACCTTCAAAAAAGTTTATGAATTGGCATGAAAGTGATGTTGCTCGGTTCAGAAAGAGCGAAAATGAATATCTACCAAATTTCACCGAAAAATATTCACCGGTTTTCAAAATATTAGACTTTTACTTTTGTTTACTTTTTTGGGATCTCCGCTGTTTCTAGCGACTTTATTTTAGAAGTGCGGCGTTTGCGGCAGATGTTGCGCGCAAATAGCATATACCACCGCGTGCTACAAAACGTTTTAGTCAAACATTTAAAAATCGTTAGATATCTGCGCTGACGTCACACATTCAGAGGGGTATTCCTTAGCATTAGCCCCTCTGAATCAAAATGCTGCAATTTTGAAATTCAATATTTCCGATTTAAGGCATTTCTCGATGTTGTGAGTGCCGAAACCGGTAATTGTGAGCCAGGGACCCCATTTTGGCTATCTCAACTCAAATCTAATGTTAAGGTGGGAGGGTCCCTTTAATGTCTAGCGACAATGTTTACACATCACTAGACTTCAAGGTCATAAGATTATTACATTTTATTTGAAAAAGTAAGGTATTTTATGATTTACTAATATATGATTTCATAAGAAATTGGCCATGTTTAATTTATTTTGCATTTAAGTTCGTAAAACATTTAAAAATCATGGCTCATTTGGAATGGGTCTGGCCCATGTTAAACCCCATTTCCCACACTTTTTTGGAAAAAATGAACTACTGAATATATAAGTTTAACTTTTATTTTGACTCTCCAAAATTCTTCTCTGATCTCAAAACAATCAAAGTTTTGACATATATTTACCAAAAGATAAGAAAATTCATGTTTCAAAGTTATCGATAAACAGTAGAGATGTCGGTTTTCTTGGACTAAAAAAATGGCATCAAACTGAACTTTGGTCTCCGATTTCTCGCAAACGGGTTCGAATTTCGAAAAACCGACTTCAGTCTGGGACATAGGTGGCTCAGCTCTAGTGAAAACCGTTTTGTGGAAAAAAGGTGGCAGTCTACCTTTAAGGCAAACACATTACAAACAAACATAACATTAACTAAAACTGGCGTTCCCTGACCTGAACTCTAGTCTTCTAAAGCTGCTAGACTTGAGCAGCGAACATGACTGCAATAACTTTAAATCCAATTTTAACCCACACCAGTAACAGCCGTTTATAAGACGCTCTCACCCAACTGCTCAATAATTTACAGAAGTACGAAATTTACATCATCTACCAACAACTCACAGATCTAAGCTGACATACATCACCCACAAAAAGTTAAACTCAAGCCACTCCTGGTATTGAAGCCCTCACCTGTTCCTGTTTGATGGTTGAGCTGGTGAAGAGCGGCTGGCCGGCCATCTGCCCGGTGGACGACTCGGAGCCCGGCGCGGCGCCCGGCACCGAGACGGACGGCAGGGAGGTGCGCAGCTCGCCGCCCGGCCCGGCCGCCGACACCGCCGGCGGCAGACCGTTGGTGAACTGCTGCTTCTGCAGGTACGCCGGCGAGGCCAACTGCTGCTGCTGCGCCGCCGCCGGCTGCTGCTGCTGCTGCTGCTGCTGGGGCGGCGGCATCGTCTGCTGCGGCAGCTGCTGGGAGGGGTCCGATACCGCCGGCATGGCGCCGCTGTAGCCGGGCAGCTGCGCCATCGACGTCTGTGGCATGGAGGTCGGCAGCTGGGCCATCGAGGTGACGGGCTGCTGCACCAGCGACGTCGGCGGCTGGCCCAGCGAGGTGGCCAGCTGCGCCAGCGAGGTGGTGGGCTGCGGCGCGCCCAGCAGGCCCGGCTGGCGCAGCCCGGCCGGCTGCGGCGGCGGCTGGCCCGGCGCCATGGGCCGCTGCAGCTGGCCGGCCGCGCCCGGAGACACCTTGGCGGCGCCCGCCTGGCGCTGCTGGCGCTTCTCCTCCAGCTCCTTCTGGATCTTGTAGATCTTCTCGGCGAGCAGGTGGTAGTACTCGGAGCGCGAGTTGGCCATCTCGTACATGTCGCCCTCCACCTTCTTAGCGTAGGCCACCAGGTTGTGCATGCGCTTGTCCAGGATGGCGCTCGGGTCCGGCGTCGGGAAGATAGCCTGGACACTGCGGGCGGGACGGAACGGGTTAACACTGAGCAGGCGAAGCCAAACATAAGGCAGGCGTCCGACACACGGAAAGCCGTGCCTGCTAGCTTTATACTCTTCACCCAACATATGCATTAGTAACAGCAAGATGAAATGCCCGCGACATATAAGAGTACACAGCCCACTTCAGACCACCCGCTCATGTAACTCCGAGCCAGTCCAGCGCCAATAGTGTAATTACTCACAGTTTTCTGACGAGGTGGGTGCGCAGGTCGGGCGTCACTTGCATGTGCCACTCCTTGGTATTGTGGACGGGCGCCGCCTTCACCGGGTCCAGCATGGCGCGGAAGTCGGCGTTACCCGCCTGAGGACGCAAGATCCGCGTTATTAAAACCGCAAACAAAAACATGCAGTTCACCGACTAATTGGTACACCAAGTGAAGGAAGGTGATGGAACTTCATAGGGAAGCGAAAATTATTCTGATACGCTAAAACGGCTCTTAAAAGCAAACTAATAAATCATTAGAAAATAAATACAAATATGGCAATCAGTCCATAACCTGTGAAAAATGACAAAAAAACAAGATATTCATGAAGGTTGCTGACGTTATGCAAAGCTTATACAATATACATGATCCTCGGCACTGGTGGCCGCTAAGAACGATAGCTTTTATCTGGCGCCCCGCCGATAGCACTGCCCCGGCCGCGCCCCCGACTCACGGTGGTGGCGTTGTCCGAGCCGTGGTCGGTCGCCCAGCTCGGCAGGTCGTTCCTGTTGATCTGCAGGCCGCCGGTGGGTGCGGCGGCGCCCGGCGGCGGCTGCGCCGGCCCCACGCCGGCCGCCGAGGCCACCGGCTCGGCCCCCAGCGCCGCCGGCGAGCCGGGCAGCTGGCGCGGCCTCTCCAGCTGCGGCGGCTGCTGCGGCGGCGGCGGCGTCGGCTGCCCGGTGGTGGCGGCCGCCGGCGCGCCGAACTGGCCCGGCGCGGCGGCCGGCTTGGGTCCGGCGGCGGCGGCGGTGGCCGGAGCCGGCGGCGCGCCCGGCGGCCGCGGCTGCTGACCGCGCCGGTTCTCCGCCTGCTTCAGCGGCAGACAGACGGGACAGTCGGGCCGGTGACACGTCTTCCAGTGGGTGATGATTTGCCGGGACGAGGCGCAGTGCGGCATGCGACACGCCTTGCCGGCCTGGCACGAGGTCATGTGGTTGAGCACGTCCTTCATCGTCTGACAGTGGGGCAGCTTGCACTGAAACACAGAGATCGCATATGGTCAGTGGGTGCTGCATGGGACTGCAGTTCCAAGTACCACACACATCTCAATCTTAATATAATCTTCATGTTTGAGAGCAAAAATGACACAAGCATACTGGCACGGTAAATATCATTCCAACATATTTTATAGAGCACAGGCCTCAACTTACAAAAGTCAATGAGTGAACATCATATAAAGCACCAAATGAATTCCAGCCTGGAAAGTAAATGAGCTGAGCTGCTGGAACTCACCTCAGGGTGGTCACCACCCGTCTGCTCGCGGCGTTGGCACTTGTGCGCGTGCAGCAGTAGTACCAGCTGCTGCTGAATCAACTTGCGCTTCTCAGGATCGCCAGTGGACGAGGGAGCGCGAGCACCGGGCGGCTGCTGCTGCTGCTGCTGTTGCGCCTGCGCCTGCTGCTGTTGCTGTTGCTGCTGCTGCTGTTGCGCCTGCTGTTGCTGTTGTGCTTGCTGCTGCTGTTGTTGCTGCTGTTGCCTATGCTGCTGCAGCTGTAACTGCTGCATCGGCGGCTGCTGCTGCTGCTGTTGCTGCTGGAGGGACTGCTGCTGCTGCAGTGGCAGCTGCTGTTGCCGCTGCAGCTGCTGCTGGACAGACAGCTGCTGCTGCTGCTGTACCGAACTGGCGCTGCTGGCCACCACGCCGGCGAAGCGCTGCGGCACCTGTCCGCCGGGGCCCGGGTACACGCCGCCGGCCGTGCCGTTACTGACCGACACCGAGGGACCGAGCAGCCGCTGCTGCTGCTGCTGGCCGGCGAAATTAAAGCTGTGCTGGGGCGGCAGCTGCTGGCCGCCCATCTGGTTCACAGTACCCTGCGCGTGCACAGCCAGACCAGACAGCCAGTGTCAGTAAACATCAGGAGAATGGACAAAGTGTCCGAATGAACCGCGGGCTTCTAAAAATAATTGGAGCTGCAAAATGGTGCTCTCTTTTTCATTTGCGTTTGAGCGCATGAAACATACAAGGCGTGATATTCGGTGACATGTGCATTTTCTGTAATTATCCTTTGAGAAAATATCCTTTGATAAAATAAACCACCATCCCTCCGGTGGTTAAGCGTCCCCTCTGGCTCTGACTGACCTGCATCTGAGGAAGCGCGCCCGTCTGCGGCGCCATCTGTCGCTGCATCAGCTGGTGCTGCAGCTGCGGCGTCACGCCGGCCGGCTGGCCGTTGGTGATGTGCTGCGGCGCCGCCGGCCGGCCCGTCCACACGCCGCCGGCCTGGCGCACGCCGCCGGCCACGCTGGCCTGCAGGCTGACGGCGCCGGCCGGCTGCGGCGGCAGGCCGGCCGCGCTCGACAGCGGCAGGCGGCCGTGCACGCTGTTGAGCTGCTGCATGCCGGGCGCGTCCATGGGCCGCGCCAGCAGACCCTTGGCCATGCCGCCGGCCGGCCGCCCGGGCCCGCCCAGGCCGCCGACCAGCTGCTGCTGCTTGCCGGCCATCATGTGCTGCATGTGGCCCGAGTCGAGCGCACCGTTGACCATCGGGCCGCCGGCCGACACGGAGACTGCCGTGGGCGCGGCGCCGTACTGCGGCGCGCCCGGCAGCTTGGCGCCGGCCGTCTCCAGCTCGTCCGGCAGCGAGAACTCGAGCGAGGAGAAGTCCAGCGACACGCCCATGTCTGCCGGCACCGCGCACCGACAGTCAGTGAGGTGCAGCGAGGGCGCCACGCCAAGGCGCGCTAGCAACACAAAAATTACAGACCCACAAATACAAATGGAAGAAATGGCGGTGATTAGGGTCTAAGAGACGTCGGAAAGACACAGTTAGATGACATTCTATAATAAGATTCAGCTTTGGAATACCATTCAACCATACTGTTTGGTAAGATGTTGACATAAATAACAAATATCTATCCTTCATTTTGACATCCGTCATCTAACAAATACCTACCACAAAGCAATCTAAAAATGTATCAAATTTCACACTAGCAAGTACTGCGTCGATTCTGCTCCCTCACTGGCAGGTGAAAAGGGAGATGCTACCCTAAAATAAGATATCCTATTGTCATAGTCAGGACGTGTGAAGATCATGTCACAAGTTATTTCACTTGGCCAAAATGTTGATGACATCTTTACAATCCACAGCCTTATCTAAAAGTTGCCAGCTCAAATTTCCAGAAAAAAAAAAATGGTTATGCATCGCCTGTCATGAAGCTTTCCAAGTTCCGATGAATCTGATTTCTTCGACTAGCTAAGAAGTGCTTTTGTTTGCCCTGATTGTTTACGTTCACGGGAACGTCGACTCTAGGGCCACACTGCAACTATTTTGACCAAGGTAAACACCAAAAGAGTAAACTTCAGTCTGCAGCTTAGCAACCAACCCAAATCAAAACATGAAAAATATTCTCTTAGGAGTTAGGACCCATTGGCGATCATCGCGGTCCCCTTATTGCGATCACAATGCTAATTTATGCAGTTAGTAGCATTAACTTTACTGAAATAATAATCAAAGCATAAGTAAAACAAAACAATGCAAATAAGCAACCAGACCGCGTCACTCGGCCGCTGGCACTCACCGTTGCTGCCGCTCGGCTCCAGGCCCGAGGAGCCGAAGCCGTCTCCAAACTTGGACCGTTTGCTGGGAGGCCCATCACCGAGGTGGTCACCCATCTCCGCTGCATTCAACGGACTCCACTGCTGCACTGTGACGCGACACACACACCGGCGGCTCGCTACTCGTCCAGCCACAGCGCGGCCATGACAGCTCGAACCTGGCGGCACGAGCGGAGGATATTGTGGTGAGGCATTCCATGATAATATCCGCTTGGCATACAGATATAGAAAATGCACCAGAAAATAAACCAGAATGGCACATACCGGCTGTTATTTGTTAGTGTTTACTAGGGCTTCAGGGCGCACAGATTTAGGTGGTCATTTTGCACCCATAACGTTATACCAGTAAAACAAGCATGTTAACCCGTGCCCCGCTGGGGGGGGGGGGGGCAAAATCAGCCCCCTCCCGTTTTCGCCAATAACTTCTAAACGCGTTACGCCAGCGACGTAAAACTTTCAGTAGGTACCTTATCATACATCAATTTGACACGTTCCCTGAAAAGTTGAGCGAAATCCGTCGGAAATTTTTTGAGAAAATGCCGTTTAAGTGACGTCATGTTCACCATTTTCGCCTAAAAAAACGGCAAAATTTCAAACGCCGCTAACATCTTCATTCTTAAAGGAATCAAGACGTAACAAAAAAGGTTATACGTAGTTTTACTTTGTCTATCAAATGGCTATCTCGGTTTTTGAAAATTTTGATTTTGGCCCAATATTTTTAAAAAAAAACTGACTTTTTTGGCAAAATAATTATTAAATCCAAAATTTTGAGTGCATCGAAAAAAAAAAACGGAATATATCTCAGGGAAGTGGTCTATGTGCACCTACATACCAATTTTCAGTTAAAAAATGTGAGAGTTATTCAAAATTTAAGACGTCACGACACACAAACATTTTGAAAAATGATTTTTTGGAAGTTCTAGACCTCGTACGGAAACAAAAATAGCACCATTCGATTCGCCGAGAAAAACTGCATCAGATAGACACCTTTTTATGCCTTAACAACCAACTTCAAAATTTGACCTCACTTGACCTGACCTTGACCTGACCTCGACCTGAAATTCATTCAGAGGTGGTCCATATCACTTATTGAGTGTGCCTATTGAATTCTATGAATAAAATGACCCATAAAACATGTGTCGCACATGCCCTTTTCTATATTTTGTTTTTGGTGACCTGACCTCACCTTGACCTTGACCTTTGAATGATATTGTATGCAACGAATATTGTCTTGGTAGCCTAAGAATACGTTTTGGGCAATCAGTCTCAGTCCATTCTTCGGCAACTACGGTGTAAGGCCGATAATGTAAAAACTTGCATTTTGTACCCTTGACCTGACCTTGACCTGACCTCTGACCTACTTGAGCAAAAAAATTGGGCTCTTAAGATCCGCCTTGTTGAGAGCTTTCGATTGCCGTTTTCCCCGTCTTTCTACGACCATCGGTTCGGAAGTTAGACAGGGGGGGCAGAATCTGCCCCCCCCCCCCCCCCAGCAGGGCGCGTATGGCTGAATAGCCCAGCGGGACGCGGGTTAAAGCAGACAGCTAGCTAGACACAAGGACTAGAAAAGGCTGGGACTGGATGACACATTATACTAGCAAGACAAGTATATCACAGGAAAACAGATGGACTGGGTATTGCAGCAATGAGCACTGAACATTCAAGTGATGACTGATGTTGCTGCCCTGCTGGATTTTAATGTTCTGATGGTTTGCTTTGATGGTTTAAGGGGCATCAAGGTTGCACTTTTCATTGTCACCCACAGATGCAATGATCTAGTGCTCAAATGATTTATCTCCAATTTTTATGGCAAGCCCTGCATTAGCATATAAACCACCCTGCCCTGTGCTTAGTGCCTCAATGAAAACTTGGATATTCATATCAATTATACTACAGTTCACACTCAAAGTGCTAGGAAAAGTGGTTTGCAATTCAAGCTCATAGAATGAGATTTTCGATTTCAGCATTCACAGTTGCATGGGTATAAGTTAATAATAAAATGATTCTGAAAGCATATTACCAAGAACATGCTGAGAGATATGGATTGTGAAGGATCTGCTGGTGGGCCATCCACCATTCCCCACCAAAAACTTGATTGAAAAATCAAGATGATTGGTCAAGTCAGGTCAAGTGGTCAGGTTTATACATTTTGTTCTTCACATACCTACTCTAGATGGAGAGCATTGTATAATGACTGGTCATTCAGTTAGGTGTTCATGCAAATAATAAGAACGCTTATTTTTTTAGAGTCAATTTTTCAAATAATCATTTTGTTTGTTTAAAAGCATCTGGAGGGGGTGGCCACTTTTCAGACACTACCAACTCCACACCACACAATTCATTTCCAGTCATGAATAAGTGAGGAATCTTAACACATCAGTAGCACTAAATTCTGTATTGGGTCACACTTCAACTTGCAACCCATCATTAAGTCATGAAATAATTTACATTATGAAGCAAATATTGCAATATGCTTATCAATTAAAAATCCTTATAAAATATTAGTATCTTTAATACAACATTTATTAACTGAGTCAGGAAGAGCATTGACCAGTACAAACATTTTGTCTGCTATATATTTGAGACTGGAGGATAATAGCAATGCTGACCTTTTATCACAGCATGTTCCATGCACACTTAAAAAATAGGTGATTATGACAACAATCTGGTGCTTGTCAACCTGGAATACCAATTATGGCTGGCCTTTATTGGTGGCTGAATATAATAATGATATTTCATCAGTGCAGGTTATAGTTATTAATCAAACCATATTACAAAGGACTGTTTCAGTTTGTCATTTAATAAAATGAGAATGTGTAGGGGAAGGCCCATAGACAATAAAAACAAAATGTACTGAAATCATTGTGGGCATAAAATGACAAAAAAGAGTGAAATGAGAAGTATGATGAAATTCATGACAAATAATAAACATGCATTAAACTGAAACAATGTGTAGCTTCAAGCTTGCAGCATCACAATCATAGAAAAATGCACAGAAATACAGGTCTGGGACAAAATTTGAAGTTAACTAGTAGGTAGCCAGTAGGTTATTGAAAAAGCCCATCTCATAAGGTACTTAGATACAAATACTGACCAAGAACACATTCCTGTAAGAAATTAACATCTTTTGATGAAATATGAGACACCTTATCTTCTTTAAGTCCAATTAGAACTGTGTGCTTAAACTATTAATGGCATTAGTGATCAAAACAATTTAAGATAGGCATTCAACAAACAAGCAAGCAAATTGCTTTGAAAATTAATAATTATTATCACAACATGATAATGAAAACACATTACACATTTTACAAGTGCAAGTTTTGTAAACAATGATAAAGGCTGTGCATTATCAAGTGTACTGTACTCAATTATACCATGCATTGCTGTGAGTTGTGGATGAATCAAGTTCTAAAAGAAGCAGCAACATACAATGAGACTGAGAAAATGCCTAGGTAGGTATTTTTAGAGAAAATAAGTTGGAAGCAAGCAGAGCAAGTTCAAATATACTCGAGCTGCAGCTTTCTTTTGTAGGTATTACAATAAGCTATTGAATCCAAAATGGTTAAAATACTGTTGAGGGATATAAATCTTCATACAAAATAAAAATAGGGCCCCAGTTACTGTACCTATCATACCTTCCAGCTAGTACCACAACACAGTACAGCAGAATGCAGACATACACATTTATCACAGTCATTCAAACACAAAGTCAGGCAATGCATGAATAAACACTAGGGTTTTTTAATAAGGATTAAAAATACAGGTACAAATTGGTGCCACTTGACAACAAGCATAGAATCACATGCCTACTTCAACAAACATTTGACAGCAAAATGCATAAAATGGAGCAAGTTCTTGATTTAACAAAGCATGTTACTGCCTCAGCTAAGAAATAATAGCCGAAAAAACATTTATATAAAATCACAAGCAGACAAGTTTAAAAAGCAAAGGATCAATCATTAACCTAATGCTATTTAGTTATTTAGCTAATGGCTTGTGTGGTTAACATGCTGTCAAAAATAAGCATAACTAATGATTGCAATATTCTAACAAGTAAAAGTTCCAATGCTTGTACATTATCTACGTCAATCATGCTGTTTACTAAGAATCTCGGAAAATAATTACTTGCACCCCTTGAGCATGAAAGAAACTACCAACTTCTAATTTCCCAAAGGCATAAACAGAACAATATTATATAAGCATAAAGAATGTAAAAACTCGAAACAATCATGAAAAATCCATCATTTTAATTCAGAAATATAAACATTACACCACAAGCACAAATGACAAAATAAATATTTCACCTTGCTTCTGCAGACAGATTCAGCACCTAACTACTCAGAAATTAAATACAAGACACTTATCTACCATATCCACCCGAAACACACCTCGAAAACAGATAATTTCGAAAGATACTTTTTCGCCTTGTTGATAGCGCAAGGTCGCGCCACAATTCGGTCTATCCGGGTCAAATTTTCGGACGGCTCTTACACTCCTCTTTAGCACCGAAAATACCAAGATGAGACAGAGTTGAGTAGTTTTTTACTCAAACTTTACGTTTACAATAATAAAAACTGAACATTTTACACAAGCGTATCAAAAACCTTGACAAATAACACAAAAGAAACTCACCGTCGGACTATTCAAAATGGCGACTGTACCTGTATTTAGAGGTGGTCGAGATGTGATGAGAGTACTTTCGAGAAGAAAGTACTACTGATGAAACTGCCGCACAAATTCATCAAGACGTTTTTTGCGTTATTTTCATATTGGTTAACATTTTTTCAAATTGAATGAAGACACTGAATCCAGAGCTATTCTTACAGCCGCTCAACATATCCACATTAAAAGCATAAGAAAGCAAATAGCAAGCGTGCTCAGGGGAGGCATACTTCGTGATCTTATGATCAAATGGATGTGCTTTCAAAAATAGTACTTTCATTGTCGGAACAGGGCTCACTCTCAATGTGTAATCAATAAAGCTCAAGACCCTCAGCAAATGTATACAGTCCGGACAAGTGCGCTGAGGTACAGACACTGTTGTGTTCAGGCCCTGCGTGGGATCGGAAATCACTGTGCTAGCAGAAATTATTGACACTTGAAAAATAAAAGATAAATTTTCATTCCCACACACACCAGTGTACAAATTATCTCAATCGTAAATTTACATCCTACACAGTACCTCGTAGCCAGCATTCGTGACCCATCTCTATTAGTTTGCGAGCACTGCCAGCGCCATCTGTCAAGGTGATAGCCCTGACACCTGGCGGCCGATAAAATCTTTTCCGTTTTCGCACTGCTGTACGTCAGCCCGTGCGTCGTAACGTAAACCTCGGTGATGGGAGGGGACCGGAAATCGTGGCTCTCATTTTCATCGCATGTACCAACACCTAATGGAATAAAAATGACCACATTAGATAGCAATGAGAGTTACAAGTCCTTATGAAAATAATATAAAGCATAGTGAAAATCCATGCCTATAGATTCTCAAACAGAAAAAGAGAACGATGCGAAAACGTCAATCACCGTCTCAAACTCACCACGCGTAAGCCCCGTCAAGGCACTTTCATTCATGAAAACTGCTTAGTACCTAGGTACTGCTGTGAATGCGTCCCGATTTCATAAGCTGATCCACCTGAGGTATTCCTTCATTTCGTCCGTCCATACAGCACGGAACATGGCCCTACAAAGTATGCTCAGCGACGTGGGTTCAGGGGTGGCAGTGGTACTTCTCATTTGCGAATACTCGTGGTGACTAAATATAGAACATAGTACCTACATACGTTCGGGCCGCAGCCCCCAGAGTCAGCTGTGGGTGGGAGCAGTATGGCTTTATTATCCAGCCTGAATACAAGCAACAAGGCACCGCACAAACGGGTGGATTTCGCCGGACCCTACCACATTTAGGTATGCAAGTTCCGACGCTGGCATAACATTATAGCTTCATAGCCTTGGCACACGCGGTAAGTAGCTCTGGCAGCACCTCCAACAGTCGTGGACACGACACACGAACTCACGTGCACACATACACACACGCACACTCGCTGCGTACGTCCTCGGATGGGAGGAGCGCGCCGGCGCCCGGGGGGCACACGCGAGGCACTTGTAACAGCACAGGGCGAGGGAAGCCGAGACAGGCGCGGGTGCGAGGCAGCGCGGGGCATATCACATCGCCTGCCAGTACGCCGGGGCAGCGGCGGTCCCCCCCCCCCCTACAGACACACACTGTGACCGGTCAGACGCTGCAGCTCAACACAAAGTGTTTGTTCATGTAGAAGTATTGAAGTGAACAGTTTCGCTATACAGAGCTCAGAAGGCCTACAGAAGTGGCGGAACGGTAGATCGACTCGAATCGATGAGGCATGGTTATGTCAGGAACAGCTAAAACGCAGCCAGTTTCGCGTCCGTCACATTGTCTTCATATGAAAGAATACACAACAACGCGGACACTATAGCACAACAATTAATAAGGAGCTGATCACTGGGCCCACTGGCGTTCAGTGCTACAGTCATCAGCTGGCATGCGTAATCATATACCCGAATGACTCCCATTATCATTTGAACTATTAAAAAATCGACATTGCAACAGCTACCATATCGCCTTTGATCAGTTGCCAACATTCATTATCAGCACAGTGAAACGTAACGCCATTTAACAATTTGCAAAAACGAGCGAGTGAAAACGTACAGCACATGTCACAAACAAAGACACCGATCGCCGTGTGCGGCTCCTGATTGGCGCAGCCGGCAACAACTGGCGTGACGTCACTGGACTGATCACCACGGTGTGGGCGGAGCGCGCGCGGCTCCCCTACTGACCGGACGGGCTCCATGAGTGGGAGCGGCCGCACCGTGCGCCGGCCGAGCGGCCGCCGCGCCGCCACCGAGCTGAGGCAGCTCCAGAAAGCTCGTGGTCGGACCGGCGCAGCACGTGCCGCGCACAGGCCTGCGGAGCGCAGCCGCGCCGCCCACAGGAATGCATCAGGCCAACTGCCGACCGGCGCGCCGCCCGTCCAGCTGCGCCAGCTCCTCCGCGTATAAATAGGCCACGCACGCGCGCACACTCGGCTAGCTACCTCTTCTCGGCTCGACCTGACGACGGCGACGCTCACCGCGTGTCGGCGCCGACGCCGACCAGACACGACGGCCGACGACGGCACTCATTGTGGTATGGCGTATGAAGACGGCGAGCGACCGTCTGCGTCAGCGATATGCGACACAATACATGGAACATCACAAAAATATTGCCCTTAGTATGGCCCGCGGCGCCGCACTAGCTGGCCGTGTTGCTGACGGCGGGCGCACTGTCGCGCTTCCCCACCAGGAAGTACGTCACCATGTTGTCCTTGCCCTTGACGAACACTTCCCCGCGCCGCTCGAACTCAAAGTAGGGCTCGAGCAGCTGGGCACACGCCTGTGTGGTCTGGATCCGGCCCGTGACACCGGTCGAGTCCATGCGACTGGCGATGTTGACCGTGTCACCCCAGATGTCAAAGTACAGCTTGGTGGTGCCGATGACGCCCGAGGTGACGTCGCCGATGTTGTAACCGATCCTCAGCTCCATGGTGAAGCCGAACAGCGTCTCGTTGAAGGCGGCAACGGTGCGCTGCAGGTCGATGGCAAACTCCATCAGCTCGACCAGGTGCTGGTCGGGCCGCTGCGCCTCGTTGCGCTGACTCGAGTTCAGGCCCGACGCGGCCATGTACGTGCTGCCGATTGTTTTGATCTTCTCGACGCTGGTGTACTTTTTCAGCAGGTCGTCCATGTCACTGATGATCTCGTTCAGCACGCGCATGTACTCTCGGCCGTCGTGGTACGTCTCGTCGTAGAGGTCGTTGAAGTTGACGATGCTGGCGAACACGACGGCCACGTCGCGATGGTTCTCAGAGTATTTGGCCTGCTCCTTGATGATTTCGGCCACGTGGCTGGGTATGATCTGGTGCAGTAGCCAGTCGGCCTGTCCCTCCAGTCGCTGCACCTCAGCCTTGTCGTGGGCGGCCGTCAGGCTCACACAGAACCCCAGCCGGTAGCTGATCTCGAACTCGCGGTTCAGAATCCAGATCAGCACCACTACCACGACCATACCGACTATGAACGAGGCCGAGAACACGAGGCGGCGGCGCTCGACCTCCGCCTCGGCGCCCGTCTCCCCGTCCGGCTCCGCGGGCCCGACCGGCTCCATCGGACAGTCGCAGGGCACGCCGCACAGTAGGGCCGCCATCGCCGCCGCGAACAGCGTCGCCAGACCGCTCTTCATCCAGCAGTTGAGCTGCGTGAAGTTGCAGAAGTGCACTAGACCCACGAGGAACATGAGAAAGTAAAGGTCGGCGTGCGAGCAGTCGCTCTCGAACGCGTCACACGACCAGTTCGCGAACACGGCTGCCACCGGCAGACTCACTAGGCTCGCGCCCACCGCGTGAAACGGGTACCAGCGCGTGTACCACGTGTACACGAGCTCGAACCGCGTCGGCATCTTGTCCAGCTCGCGTGGCACGTCCGAGGTGAGCCGCAGCCACATCATACACTGTATGAGCACCAGCCACAGGGCCGCCACACCGGAGAACACTGCCCAGCCGACGCTAGGTTCGAATGTGGCGTACAGCTCTGCGGTCAGCACCACGAACACGGCTGTGGCTACCAGAGTGTCCACCAGACTGTTGTACTTGGGCAGCGAGAGCGTGTCCGAGCCGCCGTGGTGCCGGCGCGCGTGCTGCATCCGGTACAGCCGCTCGTACTCGGGCTTGTCGAAGAACAGCGTCAGCCGGTCGATGGGCGGATGGATGAAGTAGTTGGCCTTGCTGGTGATGGTCTGCACGCACTTGATCATCTCTAGGTCGCTGAGTTTGCGCTGCATCTGCTGCTGGCTGACGCGCCGCGCCCGGTCGCCGTCGCCGCCGAGGAGGTCGGCGTCGTCCCCGGCGCCGGGTATCGGAACGCCTGGGGAAGGAGAGTGGGTCAGTAGTGCAGAGGTCTCACACGGTGTGACGGTGAGGGGAGACTCAGGGGGCACAGGGGGACACAAGGGACACAAGGGGGACGCAGGGGAGGCTCTACAAGGGTCTGATTGATGGTTCTTCCATTGGTTCAACATGGTCCAACAAACCTAACACGACATTACGGCCCTCAAGTGTCCAAGCAGCGACATCTATCGTCACAACAGGGACTGGCAGTCGAGCCGGGTCCGGTGTCGAAAGCTGGCACGACACACAGTCACACCAGTACAGAGAGACGGCCTTTTAAAATAAACACACAGAGCGGAGGTCAGTTTACATGTCATTTGATGGTAATGGCCCTGAGGTACTGGAAGAAGTCCGTCAGTCGCTAAACCGAGGTGAATCACTGGAGCTTCAGGCCCTTTAGCCGTTCATTTTATCACAGTATCAGTGGTTAG